CACACCTCCTTCTCTACCCCCTAGTTTTGTATCTCATTTTCACATTATCATCAAGTCGCCCCCCCCCCCCCCCCCCCTGCCCCCCCCCCCGTTTTTCGAGGGCTATTTTGACAGCTTCTGTCAGCTGCCTGCCATCACCTCCTTATTGGCTGCGGGCACCTCTGGCATCGTGCTGAATGCAATTAGAATCTGATTAACAGCAGAGAAGCGCAAGCAAAGGGGTCTCTCTCTCTCTTTCTCTCTCTCTCTCTCTCTCTCTCTCTTTGCACCCCTCCCTCTATAAAGAACCAAAAGAAAAAAGAACAAAAAGAACCACAGTAAAAATATTCTCTTTCCACTAAACTGTTTTGCTGGCCGGCGGGATTGTTTGCATTCCGCCAAGTCTCGGGGCCAACGGAGGAGCAAAACGCTTTGCTTGCCAATAATAAGCTTATTTTTTTTTTTTAAAAAAATCATACTCAGATAGAAATACAGCCCGCGACTTTTTCAACAGCTCCTCAGCTGCCGGAAGACGGTTTTCTTCTAAAGCTGTATTTTTGCAACTCAGGCAGGCCTTCCTTGCACCCTCCCCAAAACTCCGGCTGTCGTATGAACAGGGGCACCCAAGAACAGGGGTCCCAACCTCCGGACGTGACATGCCAGAAACTGGGCCGCGCAAAAACAGTGGGATGCAGGCAGCATGTGGAACCGTGCCCCCTTCCGGTCCACGGAACACCGTCTCTCCATGGAACTGGTCCCTAGTTCCCAAAAAGTTGGGGGCTGCTGCCCTAGAAGGCAATAGTGGTATTAGTTAGACTTGTATACTGCTTCACGGTGCTTTCCAGCCCTCTCTAAGCGGTTTACAGAGTCAGCCTCTTGCCCCCAACAATCTGGATCTTCTCATTTTACCCACCTTGGAAGGATGGAAAGCTGAGGCAACCTTGAGATAGATAGATTAGATAGATAGATAGATAGATAGATAGATAGATAGATAGATAGATAGATAGATAGATAGATAGATAGATAGATAGATAGATAGGCTTATAGTTTGGGGTGGTTTTATTTTGGCTTCTGTTCCCCTTTTTGCCTCTTGGGATTATTTTGTGATTTTTGAAGGCCCCGAAGAGGAAAGACAGAGAGACTTTCCTTCATTTCTAAAGATTTTCTTTTTTTAAAATTACCAAGACTTCTTCGTTTCTTTAATGGAGGCCCTTAATGAGATTTCTTTTCACCTTAGCGGATTTGCATTCCATTTGATCTTCTCTGCAAATTCTACTTACTCTCCTCGTTAAAGCAATTAATGGAGTCAATGCCAGTTTGGGGGGAATTAGAGAAAGCCAACATCAAAGTCCAAGAAGTTTTAGATTTAAAAATGCCTTTTTAAAAAAGACTCTATTTTTTTCTCTTAAATATATATTCTTGAAGCAAGTTTTTGTAACAATATACAGGGACTCCTCGACTTACAATGGTTTGTTTGGTGACTGTTCAAAGTTAGAACGGCACTGCAAAAAGGGACTTACGACCGTGTTTCACAGTTACGACCTTTGCAACGTCCCCATGGTCACCTGATCAAAATTCTGGCGCTTGGCAAGTGGTTCATACTTACGACCGTCCTTTTGCGACCTTCTGACAAGCAAAGCCAGGCTCATTTAACAACCGGGTTAGTAACTTATCAACTGCAATGAGTTGCGTAACAACCGTGTCAAGAAAGGTTGTGAAATGGTTCATTTAACAGCCTAAATTTGGGGCTCAGTTATAACAAGGTCATAAGTCCAGGACCACCTATACTTTGAACCAAAGCAATGTGTATGCCGGATGGCCACAGGACCTGTAGGGTTTTTCTGCAGTTTATTTCTCTCTCTCTTTCAAAAAAATAAACTCATTTTTTCTGATATTTTGCACATCAGCGAAGGAGTTAGAGCCACAATAATTCAAAATGGGATGGTCCCAAAAGCAAGCAAAATCAGGCCAAGTAAGCTGAATATTTGAGGATGGATTGTGCAAAAAGCAGACTGCCTCTTATACCTATTCTTGGGGAATTGCCCTTCTTAGCTGAGTCCAGGTTTGTACTAAGCTATGATAAACCTAAAACTTAAACTTAACCTAAACTTACTAGTCTGCTAACCCACCAAGCTCAGAGAGCACCAAGGACCCCACAGTCCAACTCTGAGCTACAAATATTCCCTTCTATTAGAATAAGAGCCATTTTGAGGGGGGAAAGAAAGAGAAGCAAACCCCAGCCCAAACCAAATTGTTTCCCATTGCTGCCTTGCAGCAACAGATACAAGGAGGTATTTATTGTGGGTTCAAGGAAAGGGGGTGACCAATTAAACCGGTATCCCCTCATTTCCAATCCAGCTTCGCCCCTTCGCTATACACATCGTGATGTTGTACGGACGTCTGAAATGGGTGGAGCGGGCCTCAGCCCAGGACAATGCTGCTGTTGTCTTTAGACAAAAAGTTTTCGGATCTCGCCGCCGTCCTCCAGCAGCAAGCGATAAGCAGCTGATGTAATTTACGATCTTTCTACAAAAATGGAGCTTTGTGGGATGTATTTTGACTTATGGGGATGGCCTATTTTCCAAGTCATCCCAAGGCGACAGAATGCCTAGGACCGGATCTTAGTTAGTCTCAAGATTTGCAAAAAAAAAAAAAAAGGTGTAAAATCGGATTAACAAGATAACAGAGTTGGAAGGAACCTTGGAGGTCTTGTAGTCCAACCTCCTGCTCAGGCACCCTATAGCATTTCAGACAAATGGCTGTCCAATCCCTTAAGAATTTCCAGGGTTGGAGCATTCCCAACTTCTGAAGGCAAGCTGTTCCACGGATTAATTGTTCTCCCAGTTCTCCCAACCTTAGTTCCAGGTTGCTTCTCTCCTTGGTTCATTTCCACCCATTGCTTCTTGTCCTGCCTTCAGGTGTTTGACTCCCTCTTCCTTGGGGCAGCCCCTCAGATATTGGAAGACTGCTATCATGTCACCCCTTCCCTTCATGAGAGAGAGAGAGACAGAAAGAGAGAGAGAAAGAGACAGAGAGAGGAGAGCAGTGGAAATCTATGGGCCGGTCCTTGGGACGGAAGAGCCACCACTGCTAGGGAAAACACACCCTAGTTCTGGGGGGAAAAGGCAGGGGGCGGAGAATCATAGGTGTGGCAGACCTTCATCTCTCTGTGGGACAGACTTGTTAACCTGCTAAGAGAGGCGGGGGAGAGGGAGGGAGAGAGAGAGAGAGAGAGAGGTGCTGCTGGTGATCCTAATAAAGGGAACATTTATTTAACTACAGAGGGTTTGTCGTGTTTGGGAGCCAGGTCAGAATAGCCCCATTATGGCCATAAGCAAGACCAAAAGAGAGTTAGTGCTGCCTTTTTCTAAGCGAAATATCTCTGCCTCCATTAGCAATTTTTCACCCTCCCCTTTAAGTATCTCCCAACCTCCCCCGTTTCCTGCTGCTCGAAGAAACTGGTCCCATTAACTAATCGGACTGACTGTTCATCTACCCGGTGAGTTGAAAAACAGACTCAAATCTACACTTCATTTGCAAGACCCTCTGCTGCGTGTGTTGCTAATGACCGTTCTAATTACGGTATCTTGCCGCTGTCTTTTTTTTTTTTCTTCCCCTTCTTCTCTCCTCCTTTCTTAATCAAGACGATCCCACCTGCCTTGTGACATCTTGCCAAACCGGGAAGGTGTTACAGGCAAAATCCGAAGCACGTCAGGATTGGTGGGGGAGGGGGCAGTGGAACGGAGCCGGCGCTGTTAAAACTCTGGCAGCTTTCGTGCCAATGGCACGGTTCATCCTGGGCAGGTTCCCCCCCCCCCAGCCTGTCATTTCTTGGGGGGTGGGGGATGGAGGGAAGAGAGACCTGGCTTCTGTTCTTAGGGTGAAGGTGTGGAGCCCAGGATGGAGGATGGCTGACTGATCCTGAAGGTAGGATAGGATAGAATAGGAATTAGAAGTATAGAGTAGAAGTAGAATAGAGGAGAGGAGAGAAAATAGAAGGATAGGATAGAAAAGGAATAGAATATAGAAGAGAAGAGAATAAAAATAGAAGATTAGAATAGAATAGAATAGAACAGAGGAGAGGAGAGGATAGAAATTAGAAGGATCGGATAGGATAGAATCGGAATAGAACATAGAAGAGAAAAGGAATAAGAATAGAATAGAATGTAGAAAGATTAGAATAGAATAGAATAGAATTGAATTGAATTGAATCGAATAGAATGAATAATAGAATAGAATTGAATTGAATTGAATTGAATCGAATAGATAGAATCGAATAGAATAGAGTAGAATAGAATAGAATAGAGTAGAGAGAGTAGAATAGAATAGAATAGAATGAATATTAGAATAGAATAGAATAGAGAATAGAAAGAATCGAATTGAATCGAATAGATAGAATCGAATAGAATAGAGTAGAACAGAATAGAATAGAGAGAGTAGAATAGAGTAGAGTAGAGTAGAATAGAATAGAATAGAATAGAATAGAATAGAATAGAATGAATATTAGAATAGAATAGAATAGAGAATAGAAAGAATGGAATTGAATCGAATAGAAAGAATAGAAAGAATAGAATAGAATAGAATAGAATAGAATAGAATAGAATAGAATAGAATAGAATAGAATAGAATAGAATGTTGGTTGCTCAGCCTTGAACTGTGGGGTCCTTGGTGCTTTCTGAGCTTGGTGAGTTTCTTGCAGACATTTCATTCCCCGACTGGGTAACATCATCAGTGCTAGTGGCTTTGTGGATAGGTAACTGGTGATGTTACCTAGTTGGGGAATGACACCTCTGTAAGAAAACTACCAAGCTCAGAGAGCACCTCCAGGGATGGAGCACCACAACTTCTGGAGGCAAGTTGTTCCACTGATTAATTGTTCTCGCTGGCAAGAATTTTCTTTTTCTTAGTTCCAGGTTGCTTCTCTCCTTGATTAGTTTCCATCCGTTGCTTCTTGTCCTGCCTTCTTCTGGTGCTTTGGAGAATAGCTTGACTCCCTCTTCTTTGGGGCAGCCCCTGAGATATTGGATCAATGCTATCATGTCATCCTTAGTCCTTCTTTTCATCAAACTGGACATACCCAGTTCCTGCCACCGTTCTTTGTATGTTTTAGCCTCCAGCCCCCTAATAATCTTGGTTGTTCTTCTCTGCACTCTTTCTAGAGTCTCCACATCTTTTTTTTTAACATCGTGGCAACCAAAACTGGATGCGATATTCCAGTCTGGCCTTTACCAAGACCACACTTAACCAGTTTTGGGACTCATAGCCAGATGGAGGACTGGAATTTCTAGTTTTAGGTCTCCTGGCCTCTCCTAAGTATCCCACGTTCCAGGAAAGCTGGCAAAAAGGTTTAAATTAGCTCTCAATGACCAGCCTTGGCTGCTAATGAGCTTGTCATGATGTCATTAGCTTGAATTAACACCCCTCCTCAATTATTTTCTTCTAACGGGGGTTTAAGCTGTAGCAAAAGTTGTTGGAAGCAAATGGGGGTGACCTTAACGCACGCGCTCCCTGTTCCATTACTTCACCCCACTTTTAAGGAAAGGGGTGGTGGTGTGAGTGGCCATGGTTTAGACCCGGGGCCAAATGATTTGACCCAACCCTTCTATTTGGAGAGCCGGAAAAAAACGGGAAGCGATTGGCTTCCCTAATCATCGGTTTGGCACCGAAGCAGGAACAGGCTGTGGCTAGTTTGGAGAAAAATGCTATTTGGGTGGCAGCGGAGAGATAGCCGAAGGATTGTGGCAGCAAAAAACACACACACACACACACTGGCTCCAAGCACATATTTCTTAGAGCTTTCTTGT